CCCGCTTCTGTCCCACAGCTTTAGGAGGTATGTAGTTTTTCTCGCTGTCCCACATCAAACGGCGCCGAGCTGAGAACTGAATCGTCGCTAGCCAGCGACAACAGCAACGCATCTGGCGAAAAGACCCTGGCCAGGTGCTGCGGGTTGCCCACGGGCTCGACACTCGAAAGATCGCGCCTTGGCGATGCGCCTCCGAGGGGAAGTTTTGCGACCGCGCCCGAACAGCCGACGACGAGATTCCCTCTCAAAGAATAAGCAGAGCCCCTGTTGGGCATCAAAATTGACTGCTTAGGTGCGCTGCCTGGGCAAACGGGGGCAGGCGGCTCGTCGCTCAGAAATTGTGGCAGCGCGACCTGGCCTGCGAAAGCTATCATCTTGCGATTTCTCCTGACGGTGACCGAAGCTTCGGACAGCCCCGTTTGCCTGGGCCTCCGTGAGCCATCTCGACATTGGCAATTTCCATCTTTATATCATGGGACGTGAGCGTGTCCTCAGATTCTGGACCTCGGATGACCTTCTCCGTGAGGCTGACCGCTGGGCCAAATATTTGTTCGACCTGTGTCAGCGGCCGTGTTGGCGAGACCTCGTCGACTGGCTGAAGTCCATTCGTCTCGGGTGTCACTTCCGTCTTCGTCTCCCTATTCAGTGCGTAGGGGTCGACTTTGTTGTGCGCCGCTGGCGTCTTGGGCATCGGGGAGTGCACAAGCGACCTGTCACCTTTGACTAACGCCGCCGTCGGCATGGTGGGAACTGGCGCAGCGGCGCCCGTGATGGGAGGATTTCGGCGCTCTCGTTGGAGCAGGCGTCGATGGGCCAGGGGGGCCTGCTCCACCACCGCCCGAAAGCTCTCGGCCCCGGCTCCGCACTGCTCTCGGCTCCTCGGTTCCGAAAAGGGCAGCTCTCGGCTCCGCACTGCCCGAGCCAGGCTGGAAGCCCTGATCTCCCGCTGGAGCTGGGGGCGGCGCGCCATTGGGCGGCGCCCTGGGCGGTGCTCCAGGCTGCAAGCCGAGCCCGTCGCCCACCTGTGGCTGCCAAATGTGGCTGCATCTGCTGCCCCTGCTGCATGAACTGCATCTGGAAGTGCTGCACGACCTGGCCGAGGATTCGCTCCGACTCGTTCTGCCGATTCGCCATGCCAACCAGGATGCCTCGCAGCTCGCTCACTGTGTTCAGCTGCTCTGGTTACGTCTGCTGGCCATGTTGGGGCGGAGGCTGCTGCACAGGCTGCTGCGGCAAGACGCCAAAACCCCAACCTGCTGAGGATGCTGGGGAACGTCAGCGTAACGCCCCTCCTCATGCATCTCCGTTACCTCACTGAAACAGACGGGGTACTGTGCAGTCTCGAGTTTGATGTCGGTCTCTAGCGCCTCGAGCTCGCGAATGCGGCTGTGCGTGTTTTTCCAACCTGGCTTGGGCGCCGTCAAGCTTCGCCTGGTACTCGTTGGCTTGCTGCTGTAACGGAATTGTCGACTGCACCATGCACTTGTGGACCGCTATCGTCCTGTCGTACATGTCCGCCAGAACTGACTCGTCAACTCTGCGAGCCGTGAGAGCTAGCATCGCCAGGTCGCTGAAATGCCGACGAATCTCCAAACGATGCTGATGCTGGTCCGTACTGGACTCTGGCGGCGGCTTGTAGCACTTGGTCAGTGGCGGCACCGTGGCCAAGTAGGCCCTCAGGTCCTTGTCTGCAAACCTGGACCTGCTGGGAGGCCTCTGCCGCGACTGATGATGGCCAAAGCCCCTGCCACCACCTTCGTCGAAGCCCATGTTGCCGTGACTGTCGCCTCCATATCCTCTCTCCTGCGCCGATGGGGGCACTCCGTCGTGGAACGTTTGACCACAAAAACACTGAGCGTGATGCTTCACATATCTTCCACAACATGGACAGTCCCAAGTCGGAGTACATCCTCATATGTCTAGCACGTTGCTACTGTCAGGATCTAGCGCTGAGTGATGGGTCCCAAGCTCGATGCATGCTCGATGGAGCCTGACAGGAGTCCTCGCGTCCGATCGGCGTTGCCGCGCCCTGCGATGCGCGACTCCCTCCTCCAGCCGCGCCGTGGCCACGGCGCGAAGGCGGCAGCTATCGCAGGCTCGAGACGCGGCACGTCTCAGGCCAAACCCTCTCCTTCTCCTCCTTTTCCTCCTCCTCCTCACCATCGTCATCATCATCAGCATCAGCATCATCATCAGCATCGTCATCATCATCAGCATCAGTATCATCATCATCATCATCATTATCATCATCATCATCATCATCATCATCATCATCATCATCATCATCATCATCATCAGCATCATCATCATCATCATCATCATCCTTCTCTCCTCATCCTCCTCCTCATCGTCCTCCTCCTCCGCCTCCGCCTCCGCCTCCATGTCCGCATCCTCCTCCTCCTCCTCCTCCTCCTCCTCCTCCTCCTCCTCCTCATCAGCATCGTTCTCTTCCTCCGCAGAATCCTCCTCATCCTCCTCATCATCCTCCCGTCATCATCACAATCATCCTCGTCCTCATCGACGTCATAATCACCGTCAACAACATCGGCCGCATCGTCATCATCATCATCATCATCATCATCATCAGCATCATCATCATCACCATCATCATCATCATCATCATCATCATCATCATCATCATCATCATCATCATCATCGTCATCAGTAGCATCATCATCCCATCATCAGCATCATCGTCATTACCATCAGCAGCAGCAGCATCTCCAGCAGCAGCATCATCAGCATCAGCATCAGCATCAGCATCAGCAGCAGTATCACCACCAACAGCATCATCAGCACCATCATCATCAGCGTCAGCATCATCATCGTCTTCTTCACCAGCACCACCACTACCATAGCCATCAGCGCCGCCACCATGATCACATTCTTCAGCATCATCATCATGAGCAGCAACCACATCATCGTCAGCAGCATAATCCGCATCAGCAGCAACATCAGCAGCAGCAACACCATCAACATCGCCATCATTATCATAATCAGCATCAGCATTAGCATCAGCCTCGCATCAGCATCGCCATGAGCATCAGCATAATCGCCATCACCATCATCGGCATCACAGTCAGCATCATCAACATCATCACAATCAGCACCAACATCATCATCAGCATCATCGTCATCTTCTTCATCAGTATCAGCATCGCCATCACCATCACCGTCACCATCCGTATTATCAACCTCATCACCAGCAGCAGCAACATCATCAGCATCATCATAACTCGCGTCGCCATCATCATCATCAGCACCATCACCATCATCATGGGCAGCATCATCGGTATCGTCATCATCATCATCAGTATCATCACCATCATCATGGGCAGCGTCATCGTTATCATCATCATCATCATCATCATCATCATCATCATCATCATCATCATCAGCAGCATCACTATTATCATCATCATCAGCATCATCATCACCGTCATCATCTGCATCATCGTCATCAGCATCACCATCACCACCCCTTTCGCTCGCCACGAGCACGCCAACAGGTAGCCACAGTGCTACAGCATGCGCGGACGGAATGAGCGAAACCATGAACTTCGGCGGGCACCCTGCGGGCCCTCGCCGTGCCAGGCGTCGAGGGTAGCTGATTGAGACTGAGGATGACGGAGGAGAGCGAGGACCATGCATAAGGCATGCTAAGAGGGGCTTCGCGCATTCCGCCCGCCGATGATGTTTCGGAGACGCCTTCCTCGCCTCCATTTTCGCTTCGGCGCATAAAAAGCGAGTGGCCCGCGCTCTCAGGCTCCTGGGACACGCAAGAATACGAGTAGGTTGCGCCACGAGGTTCCCGGAAGATGTCAAAAATATGTTTGACTTGCCCTCCACTATTGATAGGAACCTCAATTCGGCACACCCCTCACGCACTTCGCGAATGTTGGGCTCACAGCTGGCCCCCGAGACCGCTCCCTTGAGCCTCAATTCGGCACACCCCTCACGCACGCCGTGCCCCACAGACCCCAAAGAGCCTTTAGCTGGCCTCCAAGACTGCGTAAGCCCCCAAGGGGCGCAAATACGCCCCAAAGACACATTGCAACGATCAGTACCGACCCTCGTCGATGCAGCATCCCTGACACCCACTGGCTGCAAAATCAGCGTGCAAGCTTCCCACTGGGGGACCCGTGACTCCCGCTCTGAGGTTCTCAATATCGTTGGGGAAAATTGAATGATTGAGGGAGGGAGGTGGAGCCTGAGTCCGCTGCTGGACGGGGAGGCAGTGTCAAGATTGTCGGCACTGGCTGTGAGAAACGGCATGATCTCCACACTTGTGCATCTGACAAGCGAGCCATGGTTTAGCGCTGTGGCCCCTGAAGAGTCTTCATGCTGCGTCGACCAACCTGAACCTCCTCCTTCTGCTCCTCCTCCTGATCATCATCATCATCATCATCATCATCATCATCATCATCAGCAGCACCATCATCAGCACCATCATCATCATCCTCATCATCATCAGCAGCATCATCATCATCATCCTAATCATCCTCCTCCTCCTCGTCCTCGTCCTCCTCCTCCTCCTCCTCCTCCTCCTCCTCCTCCTCCTCCTCTTCCTGCTCCTCATCCTCCTCATCCTCCTCCTCTTCCTCGCAGGGCTCGGCAAGAGCATCTTGCAGCGGGGGCCCCTTCACGGACTCATTGAAACAGGGCCCTGGAGGGCGCCCCAGGCAGGCCTTTGTTTGAGTAAGGGCTTCTATCCAGATCACCCCCAGGGGCACGTTAGATCGCCGCTGGCCGCTGGCTGCTGTCGGGATTCGCATCCAACGCGCTTAACATTCACATCTTCTTCTTCCTGCTTCTCCTCCTCCTCCTCCTGCTCTCCATCGTCCTTCCTCCCTCCTCCCTCATCCTCCATCCTCCCTCCTCCCTCCTCCCTCCCCCCTCCTCCTCCTCCTCCTCCATCTCCTCCTCCTCCTCCTCCTCCTCCTCCTCCTCCTCCTCCTCCTCCTCCTCCTCCTCCTCTTCTGCTTGCGAGGGGGCATGGCCTCCGTCGGAGTCCGCAGTCTTGGCGGCTCCGCTCTGGGCGCTGAGCTCCCCCCGCAGATGGCGAAGGTGCCCGGTGCCCCTGAGACGGAGATCGCGCGGGAGGTGAAGGCGGCCAGCGGGGGAGGGAAGAGATGGGAGGAGGACTACGAGAAGCGACCATGAGTAGCGGGGGCAGGAGAGGGAAGAGAGAAGGGGAATGTAAGAAGGACAAGGTGGAGGAGAAAGAAGAGGAGCGGAGGAGGAGGAGGAGGAGGAGGAGAAAGAGGAGGAGAAGGAGGAGGAGGAGGAGGAGCAGGAGGAGATGGAGGAGACGGCGTAGACAGAAGTAGGGATGGACATGAAGAGGCTTGGGCAGAGAAGGACGAGGAGGGAGGAGGAGATCGATGAGCAGAGAGACACGCAGAGCAGGGGGCGACATCGACTCCGACCACAGACCCCCGACGTCGTGATGTTTTCAAAACGTCGACCCCAAAGGTCCAAACCCCTTCCCCGGGACCAGCTTTTCATCCTGAGTCGTTTCTGACGGTCCCGGGGCCCGGTGAGGACCCCCGGAGGTCGAAAGTAGCGAAAAACCTCCCGTCGTGATTTTGTTCGGGGTCTGGGACGACGGCGGCGGCGACGCCGCCGCCGCCGCCGACGGCGTCGCGCACCGCGTCCACGGCGGCGGCGGCGCCACGACGACGGCGGCGTGCGCCTCGGGCCGCGGGAAGGTCGCCCCCCCCCGCCTGGGCCGCGCGCCGCCGGGCGGCCCGGCGGCCGCCGCGCCCGCGCCTCTCCCGCGCGGGCAGGGCGCGCGCTCGCCCGCGGGCGCGCGAGGTCGACGCCGCCGCCGCCAGCGCCGCCGCCGACAGCGCCGCCGCCGCCGTCGACGCCGGCGCCGTCAGCGCCGCCGCCGCCGTCAGCGCCGCCGGCGTCGTCGGCGTCGTCGCGGCCGCCGTCGGCGTCGCCGGCGCCGCCGGCGCCGTCGCCGTGGGCGCCGCCGCCGGCGTCGCCGCCTCCTTCGCCTGTCGCCCGCCTTCCCACAGTTCGAGGCGCCGGAGAGGATTCGCGGCGGCCAGCTTTTCCAGTTTCTCGGGCGCGGTCTAGCCAACCCCCTAGCAGACCGTCCCCTCCGTGACGTCACCCTCGCCGTTTCAAGCTTCCCTCTTACCGCACACGTACGCCTTGCGGCGAGGCGAGGGGCACGTCACAAAAGGGGGTGGTTTGCTAGGGGTTGGTTAGCCCGCCCCTGCCACTCTCGGCCTCCAGAAGCGGCCTCTGAGAAGCAGGATTCGAGCCGTCAAGAAGCGACTCGGGATGAAAAGCTGGTCCCGGGGGAGGGGTCCAGTCCTCTAAGGGCCAGCGCTTGAAACTGCACCTGCATGGAGACCGTAACCACCAACATTGCATGATAGCACGCATGGTTGGCACAGCACGGTACGGCACGGCACGACAGCACGGCACAGCACGGCACGGCACGGCACGGCACGGCGGGCGGCCAGTTACTCGCGCTCTAGAACCGAGGCACGGCGCGGCAAGGCACGGCACGCGGGCGGCCACGCTTCTGCGTAGTCCAGAACCTACACCAGCACGGCACGCGGGTACGGCACGGCAAGCGGCAACAAATTCGAGGCCGCTTACAGCATTCGCTGCTTAGGGAACCTTGGTACGGCACGGCACGCAAGTACGGCACGTCACGGCGGCACGCACGGCAAGGCCACTTGCTCGAAGTCTGACATCCAGGCACGGCACGGCGGGCGGCAATTCTGTTCGCCGACTAGAACCCGTGCACAACACGGGACGGAACGGAACGCGGCCACGACACGGCACGGCACGCGGGTGGTAACTCTGCCGCCTCTTCGGAACTTGGGCACGACACGCCACGGCACACGTGCGCGGCACGGCACGGCAAGGAACAACGGCACGGCACGGCACTGCACGGAACAACGGCCACTTCTTCGCACACGACGCGGCACGGCACGGCGACGCGGCCACGGCACGGCATGCCACGGCACGGCACGTGGGTGGCAACCCTGCTGCACGAGAGGCAGAACCCAGGCACGGCACGGCACGGCACGGCTCGCGGGGAAAGCGCGACGGCAGGGCACGGCAGGGCACGGCAGGGCACGGCACGGCACGGCGCGGCACGCGGCAATATTTGTCTCGCACTCCAGCACGCATGCTCGCCCTGCTTTGCAAAACTGAAGCCCCCGACAGCACTGCTCAGGGAACAATCACGACGGCCTGGGTCAACAGCCTCTCCCTCCCAGTGCCCACCCCGTCCCCCCCCTCCCCCTCCTTCTCCTCCGCCTTCTCCTCCTCCTCATCCACCTCCTCTTGCTCCTCCTCCTCCTCCTTCGCCTCCGCCTCCGCCTCCGCCTGCGCCTCCGCCTCCGCCTCCTCCTCCTCTTCTTATTGTTATTCGTCTTATTATTATTATTAATATTATTATTGCTATCATTATCAGTAGTACAAGTATTGTCATTATCATCCGTATTAGTATTGTTATTATTACTAGTATTGCGATGAATATTAGTATTATTAGTATTATTAGTATTATTATTGTTATTATTAGTATTACTATTATTAGTATTAGTATTATTAGTATTATTATAACTATCATCCTGATTATGGTTATTACTAGTAGCATCACTATCATTATCATTATGATTATTATTAGTCATAATTATTAATAATATTATTAATATTATTATTAGCACAATCATCATGATTATGACTATCATTATTCATAATATTAGTAGCATCATTACTATTAATATTATTATTACCATTAATACTATTATTATGCATCTTAATATTCTGATTATTGATATTATTCTCATAATTCGTATTAATATTCATCTCCGGGTTCCTCTTAATATGATTATTCTTTGTTCTTATAATTCTTATTAATATTCATCTTAGTATTCTTCTTATTATAATTCCTCTTCCTCCTCCACCTCCTCCTCCTCCTCCTCCTTCTCCCCCTCCTCCTCCTCCTCCTCCCCCTCCTCCTCCTCCTCCTCCTCCTCATCATCATCATCATCATCCTCATCCTCCCTCTCCTCTTCCTCCCTCTCCTCCTCCTTCTCCTCCTCCCTCCTCCTCCTCCTCCTCCTCCTCCTCCTCCCCCTCCTCCTCCTCCTCCTCCTCCTCCTCCTCCTCCTCCTCCTCCTCCTCCTCCTGCTCCTGCTCCTTTTCCTCCTCCTCCTCCTCCTCCTGCTCCTCCTCCTCCTCCTCAGCATCATCATCATCATCAGCACCATCATCACCACCACCACCACCATAATCATAATCATCATCATCATCATCATCATCATCATCATCATCATCATCATCATCATCGTCATCATCATCATCATCACCACCACCATCATCATCATCATCATCATCATCATCATCATCATCATAAGCATCAGCATCATCATCAGCAGCAGCATCATCATCAGCATCATCTTTATCATCTGCATCATCTTCATCATCATCCTGGTCGTCGTCCTCCTCCTCCCTATTACCTTCTCCTTCTACGCCTCCTCCTCTAATCACGTACCATCACCTCTGATGATCATCATCATCAGCAGCATCATCAACATCATCAGCATTATCAGCATCAGCATCGTCATCATCAATATCATTATCAGCAGCATCATCATCACCATCAGCATCATCATCAGCATCATCAGCATCATCACCATCACCATCATCATCAGCAGCAGCAGCATCATCAGCAGCATCATCATCACCACCACCACCATCATCATCATCACCATCATCCTCATCATCACAATCGTCGTCGTCATCATCGTCATCATCGTCGCCAGCATCATCAGTATCCGATCAGCACCATCATCTGCATCATCATCACAACCATCATCATCATCATCATCATCATCAGCAGCAGCAGCATCATCATCATTATCATCATCATCATCATTAGCATCATCATCAGCATCATCATCAGCATCATTATCATCATCATCAACATCATCGTCGACGTCAGCGTCGTCGTCACGGCCGTCCCCGCCGCAGTCGTCAGCGCCGTCCTCGTCCTCGCCCCCGCCCCCGGCCGCCGCGACCGCCAGCACCGCCAGCACCGCCGCAGCGCCGGCGTCGCCGCCGCCGCCGTTGTCGCTGGCATCAGCGCCGTCGTCGCCGTCGTCGCCGCCGCCGTCCACTGGCGCATTGTGGGCGGCGGGCGCGGTGGGCGGCGCCGCTGACGGCGGGAGGTGCGGACATGCGCGTCCGCCCGGGGCGCACGGGCCGCACCTGGCCGTTGGGGCCGGCTCGCAGCAGCCCCCCCCCCGGGCCTCGTCGGCCGCTGGAGTGGGGAGGGGGAGGGGGGTGGTAGGGCGAGGGCGAGGAGGAGGAGGCGGAGGATGGAGGGCGGAGGAGGAGATGCAACAGGGGGAGGACGAGGACAGGAGCGAGGACGGAGAGGAGTGACGAGTGAGGGGCAGGAGGAGCACGATCAGGTCGAGGAGCGCGAAGGGGAGGGGGAGAGGGAGGGGGAGGGGCCTATGGCGACGACGAACACAGGGAAGAGGCAAAGGAGGAGGAAGGAGGAGGAAGAGGAGGAGGAGGAGGAGGAGGAGCAGGAGCAGGAGAAGACGAAGGGGGAGTTGGAAAAGGGAGAAGGCGAAGAAAGGGGATTAAGAGGGGGTGGAGGTGGAGGAGGTGGAAGGAAGAAAAAGGGATGGTGAGGTGGAAGAGAAAATAGAGGAGAGGGGGAAGAGGGAACAGAGAAACGGGATGAAATGGGAGTGGGAGGCGAGAAAGGAGGTCGAGGAGGGGTAGGAAGAGGAGTGGGCAGGACAAGGTAGATGAGATGGAGGAGGAGGGGCGAAGCAGAAGAGAAGAAGGACGAGAGATATAGGGAGAAGGAGGAGCAGCAGGACGACGAGGAGGAGGGGATCGAGGAGAACGATGACGAGGACGACAACGAGCACGAGGAGGAGGAGAATCAGGATCACGAGGACGAGGAAGACAACGAGGAGGAGGAGGAGGAGGAGGACAAGAGTCATCAGCGATGTTGGAATTAACCCTCCCTCCAAGCTCCCTCTTCATAGGCCCCTACAACGGCTTATCTCCATTAAGAGAACTGCCTCGTTGGACGACAACCGTTTGAAAATCCTGAAGCATGCCAGAATATTGTTCTCGGGATTTCAACGCCACGTATCAACCTGACTGCTGGGTCTTGACGACCCAGAATGTTGCCAGTACGCCATGTTTGGGATTCCAACACCGCGAATCAACAAAAATGTTGCACCCGCATAATCCTGAATCCTTCCAAAACACCATTTCTAATTCGTTGATCATGGGCATCCGTGAAACTCCTGCCACTGTTGAAAAAAATGTGCACGGCGCTCAGGCGAGAGCCACATTTTGCAAAGGAACCGCCCTCAGTCCATGAAACTCATTGCAAATGTTTTAAACGAATGTGCGCGGCGCTAAGGCGAGAGCCACATGTTGAAAACAACCCGCCCTCAAACCATGAAACTCATGCAAATGTTTTAAACGAATCTGCACGGTGCTAAGGCGAGAGCCACATGTTGAAAAGGACCCGCCCTCAATCCGTGAAACTCTTGCAAATGCTGAAAACGAATGTGCGCGGCGCTGAGGCGAGAGCCACGTGTTGAAAAGAGCCCGCCCTCAAACTATGAAACTCTTGCAAATGTTTTAAACGAATCTGCACGGTGCTAAGGCGAGCGCCACATGTTGAAACCCGCCCTCAAACTATAAAACGCTTGCAAATGTTTTAAACGAATCTGCACGGTGCTAAGGCGAGAGCCACA